GAAACTGCGAATCAGAAAGAAAAATAAATAAATTTTCTAATCTTGGCTTTCGAAGGAAGTGAAATTTCACAACTTTGAAAGTGGGCGAAATAAATTTTCTTTCCACTATTTGACTGGATTTCAGATATATATTGCTGTTACATTTTATATATATATTTGACGCGCTCATATAGGATGTGCGAGCAGGGTAACATATTGACAGACAGACAGGTAAGCAGATTTGAAATTTCCGACTCGTCTGTGGCGTTTACTTTGCACGAAGCATTCAAGAAAGGCATGAATCCATCTCATCCCCAGACTGCAACTTATGGCCTACAGAGTTCTCTTGCATTGGGTCGTAGCTGGTCTCAAACTTGAATTTATGACCGTAGAAAGAACAACGGAAAAACCATTCCACTTTTCCCCCTCAAGAAGTCATAGTAATTTACACATATTAAAGAAAGTTTGTGAAGAGGTATTTTTCATCTTGTATTAGCAGCAATATTATCTTGAATTTTTACTACAGGAAGCTTTGTTAGGTATTATACATTTTTGACTAGTATTTCTGTCATCTTAATTCTTATTGTTTTTCATCTAGTAATATTATCTGGAATTTTTTTACAGGAAGCATTGTCAGCAATTATTCATTTTTGACTAGTATTTCTTTCATCTTAATTTCTGTTGTCTTTTTAATCTAGTACTATTATTTGTAATATTATCTTGAATTTTTATTAGATAAAGCATATTTCCTACATCTAATTTTACATAGCAACGACTCAGCACGTCAGTGTAGGACCAATAAATGTTTAAAAAAAAATCAAATAAGACGCTATGTAAAACTTAAATAAATGTAGAACTTAAATTTTTTCTTAGACGAAATAGTGTTAATCATCATTAATATTTAATTAGGATTTCTTTTTTGTGTCTGAAATTCTGGAATGAGGAATTATTTATACTCAGTAGAAACGGCGAGCAATAAATGAACAGTACTAAAAATAAGAACTAAACGAGATATCCCGAGACATAGGCAGTGGAACGAGAACAGTTTATCTCCATAGATTAAATAAATAGTTCTGTTCAGAATTCCATGTAGGCTACAGAGATCAATATACAGTGTAACCCGGATATAAGAGACTCGGATATAAGAGAAACCCGGATATAAGAGATTTTCTCTGGTCCCAAAGTGTTGCCATACTTACCTAAACAAAATAGACCAAACCCGGATATAAAAGAAACACGGATATAAGAGACTTCTTCTCCGGTCCCGACAACTCTCTTACATCCGGGTTACACTGTACACCTGATTATGGCAGGACAGCTCAGCAAACAAAACGTTGCGACAATGATATAAATGAGGACAATAGTCCGAATATAATTAGTATTTATTTTAATTTTCTTCGCTTTGATTACACCATCAATGTACACCTACTACCAAAATTGAAACGGTAGCAAATATGATGCCGAATAACCAAGGGAAACGTAGAATATATTTAAATTGTAAGATCTGATATCCTGCAACAATTAGCTCCCAGAACCTCAATGGCAGGACAGCAGTCGTGCACAGATAGACTTTTCAAACGAAAAATAAATTGAGAGTTCGAGTCTTTTTCTTTCTTTTTTTCATGAAATAATCGTTTTAAGAATCAGTTTTATTTAACTAAGTTGTTCATTTACTTCGGAGTTAGTAAAATATATAAATTCAGTTCATACTCTAAAAAAGAACTTGTAATTATCCTACACAATAGTGTAGCATTTATAATCATTTAAACTAATGTTCTCAGTTTTAACTTCATATAGGGGGAGATAACTCGTGACAGAACGATGAGAGTTCTCAGTGAAAAGAAAAAAAAAGATGTAATTTCTATATTAAATAAGTTTCACTTAAGAGAGTAAAAAAATACCAGCGAGTAACGAGTTTATATGTCGATGATTTTTCTTTATCGCGTTCAATACCTGCAAGATTATGAGAGACATTGTTTGGCACCGAATAAGGGAAAGAAAAAAGAAAGAAACTTCAAGTGGAACCTTCATATATATTCATTCCAGGTAAGCCGAAATCGATAAGCCAAAGTTAAAATACAAAATTCTTGGCGAGCTTCCCAATTTTTGATAAAAAAAGGAAAAAGTCAAGGAAAATTCATAAACTTTGTGGGCAGACATTGAATCGCCGTCAAGATTCTTTATCAATCTAGATTCTTGATATTTACAAAGGCGATACGGCATCAGGCCAGACGCAGGATGGGTAAGAGAGGCGGAAAGACGGCTTCACTCATCTTGTAAACGCGGGGGCGGGAGAAATAATCCCCGTTGTCTGCCGAGAAAATCGGCATTCCAAACTGACTTTTCGGTTAGGGTTTGCTCTAATCGAAAATGACCTTTTGGCAAACGTGGTAAATGCGTAACGATTCCCCGTCCACGAAGCAAGCCGCAGTTTAATTTAGTGAGGATTAGTACGTAGTTTGATCGAACTGTCTGCACAGCCCTCCTTGTGTCTGCCACAAGTGTCGATGTGTGTAAATGATTGTGTTACGTTAATCTTCTAAGTTGGGGTAACCAGCCTGCTGAGAATAATGAATTCTACTTTTCACTTAAGCTTGAACACCAGCTTTAGACTGTCGACGAAAAATATTTTATCTTATATTTTTATCTGGGATCTGGGCAGAATATTGGTACGGAGAGCTCGAGGTTCTAAAAAGCATTAATTATGAAAATCTCCTTTCCAGAAGGAATTATCTGGATTTTTTTACAGGAAGCATTGTTAGGCATCATTCATTTTTGTCTAGTATTTATTTCATCTTAATTCTTATTGTTTTTCATCTAGTAATATTAATAGTAATATTATCTGGAAATTTTTTACAGGAAGCATTTTAGGCATTATTCATTTTTCACTAGTATTTTTTTCATCTTAATTCTTATTGGTTTTTATCTAGTAATAATCTGTAGTAATATTATCTTGAATTTTTATTAAATGAAACATTGTCATCCATTGGGTCTGAAAAGCAGTAATGATGAAAATCAGCTTTCTAGAAGGAATTATCAATTCGTTTCAGATATTCAAAGTAGTAGTAATAATAATAAAATTATTAATAATAGTTCTAAGAATAAAAGCAATAGTAACAGTAATAACGACAGCAATAATAGTTAAATTCAAGTGATATACGTGATACATGCTTGCGTGATCATGTATCTTTCGATTCATGACTGACTTGGGAGATTTCCTCGCTGCTTGCTGCCGTTTCCTTCTGCAGTGTAATGGTTGCCAAACCTACTATTCAACTCTTAGTTGGGTGAAAATGACATGGCTTCATATCTTTCCCAAGGCATTTGCTCGTAAGTGCATCTAACGAACCCGAGTGGAATTCGAACTCTATTCGACAAATTTTTTATTCCATCCTCTTATCCATTACACTCCCCATCCTTATTACTTTTCTTATATTATTTTTATTATTATTAAGTAGTAGCAATAGTAATAATAATAATTCATCTATACATGTACTTGGGCTCCAATGCACGTGGATGTCAACAACATTCTGGATAATCAAGAGCTTATCCCTGGTTTATATCTATCGTGTTTGTCTTACATACTTAAGATTAGCACCCCACATCTTAGCATTTTTGTACAGTTTCAGGTAAGTGGGTTTTGAATCCCGAATTATCTTTCTCCTAAATTGGTTGTCAACCACGGTTCCATAGTCCAGTCTTCCCTGCTATTAAAACTAGAGGTGGGAGGGTTAGAATGGATTCATGACTTACCTAAAGATATTTGTACGAAAAATGAATGCGATGAACGCAAACGGAACTCGAACTCAGCAGCCCAAGTTTTCGTTCCCAGAATCTAACCATTACCCCAACTCCACATCCAAAAAGTAGTAGTGGTTGTATTAAAAAGGGGATGCATAGCGAAGTTATAGTTTTAAAGATAACCCCTTTAACTGTCATGTGCGTCTCTAACTGGGAATTTGGATTTCGTTTCAGTTAAAAATTAAATTACGATTTTAAGAACCTACATCTGTCGCATGCATCTTTATAAAATATTCGCAGATCTTCTAATTTGAGCAAAATTCAAAATATTTGAAACGGAGAAAAAAATGAAAGCAAAAATTACGCTTAGCTTTTGTGTCGGTAACAGGGCCCAACAAATAATAATCTGAAGTGCAAAACAGTCTATTTTATTAAATACTTAAGCAGACAAATTGGATACATATAAAAATAAGTTGAAAAAGATTGAGCAGTCAACAACCTCGTGTTACAATTTTCTTGCAAGCTAACCACTGAGGAAGCATGTACACAATAAAAAGGAGGAAAAAATTATTTGCCGACATAAAATCTTGTAAAATCTGTAAACAAGTAAACCTAACAAAAAAAAAAAAATGTATCAAAAGCAGTTCTGTGATTGAATTCCATAAACGACAATGTATCATTTTTTTTTTAAATATTTCTTTTCGATCCCCCTTTTCATTCTACCATTTTATGAGATAATTCCATGTACAAATTTTCAATACATTTTGTTTTCTTACTGTATTTCTTCTGCCCATCCAACGTCTCATGACCTCTAAACTATATATAAAAAAAAAAACATTTTAGTATCTTCGAAAACTACGTCTTTGTTTGCTTTTAATAAGACTTCTGTAATCTATTAAAATTTCTTAGGCAAACAATATAAAGTTTTTATCACCTAGGACAGATAAATTAATTAGCCTCGTACTTAGATTCTTGGATGTGACAATGTCACCAAGAGTAGATAATCATCAGAATGCAGACAGCAAATACTATATATACGGAAAGAAATGGGGATTCACATAAAATATATTATGCTACTTTCTGATGAGAAATAACCTAAAAACGATGACACGCTTAAAGTTTGCTACAAAATTTTTATTCTATCAAAAACCTCCCAAAAATAAAATAATCTGCTCACTGTCTTGGAAGATATCAAAGTGTACTCTGGATGAGAAAGCTCTGGCTTCCATAAAAAAAAAATTAAAAAAAATCTCCAAACTGCTTTGAAAATATTTACATAATTACTGGATGCTAGCTACCATGGAGCTCATTGTCAATTTCTTTTTATCAAGACAGAATTCAGCGCGAGCTTTTCCTTTCCAGATATGGCTCAGGTGAATATGGAGAAGAGAGAGAAAAAAAAAAAAAAGAATACATTCCTTTTGTTTCCAAGCTTCCATTCTCATGCTGGCAAAATATTCCCAGTGAAGAATTCTTTCTGCTCGAAATTCCGCAATTTCTAGAGGCAAAACAAAACACTGCACCGAATAGCAGTCCGTAGGGTAAGAAAGGCTGTTTGAAGTCTACCATCTGAGACGAGTATCTTGCATCTAATGGAAAGATACCTGATCTTTCTGTAATGACGGAGAAAAATGTTGATAAATAAATGAAAGCCATTTACCTTTCTGCTCGGAAATGAATTTAGCTTTGAATCCCCGAAAATGAGCTTTCTCGTCTGTGCTGAACGTAATGTACATTTTCCTTCCCGTGCTGATAAATTCAGGAGTATCTCCATTACACCAAGAGCCAAGGAGTGGACTACGTGGAGTGCCACCTGGAGGAGAAAACAAGTACAATAAAAATAAGGAAAAATAAATAAAAAGGTTGCATTGTCATACCCCCTACAAAAAAACAAAACAAAAATAAATAAACAAACAGAGAGCTCTAAAGTTAGAGTTTGTTTAATGGCATATCAACACTTTGTGGGTCATTTAATACCAAAATTTAATTTTCTTGGACGGTTTGAAGTAAGAAAAATATGATCTTTGTTATCCTGATTTCATAGCTAAATAGATGGTAGATACTCGGCTTTTGTGTAGATATTTGATTACTGGAGATAGGGATATACATGTGTGTGTGTGTTTTTTGTGTGTGTGTACGTGTGTTTGATTCCTTTGTAGAAATTGCCTGCTATTATTATATGGATAAATGTCATGAAAGAGTTCTTTCATGTTGGTTGTTTGATTTTGTCTAGCAGCATATCAACCTCTATGGATTATTTAATGCCAAAATCTAAATATTTTGAACACAAGTTTAGGGCTTCAATTATATTTTGAACGCAATCGCACGTTTCAATTACAGATAAAATGTATTGTTGGTAATTCTAATGTCAAATGTATTGTTGGTAATTCTAATGTCAAATGTATTGCTGGTCATTTTGTTATAAATATTTATTGTTGGTAATTTTACTCTAAAAATCTATTCTTATACTTTCATAGTGTTTTGCTTTTGTTTAAGGGTTCACTATTTGCCCATAGCTGGGACCATGACAGGTGCTACCACCCCGGGTTAGGGTAAATCTGGGAAGACCAGCAATTAAGAGATGGTTCGGCGCTAGTCAGCTCTCACAATTGAGCCAAGCGGGGATTTGATTTTTTTGAGACCCTTAATTGACCTACAGCTCAATTATAAAACTGTCAGTCAGTTAAGTACCATACGTTATACGCGCTTGGGTGAATATATCACTTTCGATTCATGACTAAATAGAATTTATTCCAGGAGTAGTTTTCTTTCTGCGATAGACTGAGTGCTAGTCAAGGCTATAAGACCCAGACTGCTGTTATTTAACCCATAACTGAGGGAGAAGCAATGTAGAGATACCTTCTCCTGCGTAAATGAATGTAACAAACCCGACTGGAATTCGCGTAATCTTCAGGCAACCGGCAACAGTTATTTGGGAATATAGATATTTAATACCCACTTTGGCAAGCCCAAGATCTTACAAGGGTAGCTGATGTGCACGCATCAAACAAAATCATCGAGCAGGGAAAAACACCCATCCGACCAAGATGTAAATGCCGTAAATATCACTTTTTCGGTACGCCTTTTTTTTCTGGTGTTGAGATCTCCCCACCTCGAATCATCAAAGCTGTCTGGAAAATCTTTCGAGACAATTCCAAAGCAAAGTCCTTCCATCCGGACAAAATATTTTTAGTGGTGATTCCCGGGTTTTCTTGGCGTCCTAGAGGACTTTTCTTGCTCAAAGAAGTGACCTTTACGTTACCTTTCCTATCCCTGGGAATGTTTCACAGCATAGACATTATTGAATGTCTTCTTATAGAAGTATAGATTGATTGAATTTAAAAAAAAAATTCTCACTAGTTTAAATCAGGATGCATTTAAGCTAGCTCTTTCGGGGGGTTCTTGATTGGGCCTTCACCCTAATAGGTAGGAAGGGGTAGACTACAGAAGAAGTCAAGATTGATTGCTGCATTTAAGTATTGTATTAATACTTAAGCTTACCCTTTTAAAAAAAGGTTCAACGATTATTCTCCTGCCGCCATATAATTTAAAGAATTTGATCTACGTAGGTCCCTAATTTCTGTACAAACAATTATTTTTATTTCATGGGTGACTTTGGCAATTCATTTCGTTTATTCCCAAATTTATTTCCATCTTATAAAAATTGTCATCGTACAAAAAAAGAAAACAGAAAAAAAAAAAAAGAAAAAGAAAAAATCTTCGCACAAAAATCACGTAAAAATATCGCCGAGACAATCGTAGTAATGAAAACTTGGAAATCCAAAATTTCAGAATTGCAGGTCTGGATCCAGTGCAGAATATTTTTAATTTGCTCACGGGGTTATCCTGGTTCCAAAATGGTACGAGATGTTCGGTCATGGCTTTTAGGAGTAAAGCTGAAAACACTGACAATTTTATTTGGAAATCTGTAATTTGAGAACAGTATTTTTTTCATTTGAACATGAGTTATTGAAAGTTAGAGAGTTGTGTCCCTTTGTTTTTTATCAGTAGAAGCCATCATGACGGAATCCGAAAACAGTCGCAGTAATGAAAACTTGGAAATCCAAAATTTCACGATCGCAGTTCTGGATCTGGCCCGGAATGTTTTTAATTTGTTTACGGATTTGGCCCGGTTCCAAAATAATGATATCTTGGGCTGCGGCCTCTAGTAGTAAAGTTGGAAAAGGGTGACACATTAAAACACTGGCATTCGCATTTATTATATCGATGAAAAAAAAATAAAATAAACCTATCAAATCAGAAATATCTTTAGTCCTACAATAGGTGAAGTTTTCAATCAAAATTAGATTTATTTCGAGTAAGCAGATTATGAATTTAAATATTTTTTCCCAGATTTTCGTCTTCTTATTTTTCTTCTATCCCTTTCTAAAATATCTCTTTTTTTATTCAAAAGCGTGCGTGGAACTGTATAAATATTTAACACTGTTACTGTTATAATTGTTGCCAGGTTATGCTGGCCCGTTTGGCGCAAATAGGAAATTTCCATTTTCTGGAAATAAACGGCTCTAGAGGACGCTGAAGATTTCTCAAGTGCGCCGGCATTTTGGTTTCGAGCGAATACCGTGCACTACAAACTAAGTTAAACAAGACTCCCAACACAGAATACAATATAAAAAAATACCCCCCAAAAAACAGGTTGTTACTCAGTCAGTTATGCGCTATGCGTGTTACACGCTTAGGCGATCATGCATCTTTCGATACATGATTGACGAGGCAGATTCTTTTTTCTTTCGCAGTAGGTTGCCATTTCTTTTCTGCGGTAGACCAGATGCCATCCAAGGCTATAGAACTCTGTCTCTCCTGCTATTTACTCAAAGCAGGGTGGCAAGAAGATGAGGATTCGTACTTTTCCCAAGGCTATTAGCACGTATGTAATTGACGTTTTTACGATGTCTTTACAATGTATACATACATCAACAATAGGCAACGTAAGTTTCGTAAAGGGGTATGTATGTTCACAGTCGCGGAAGTGTTAATGAATTCATTTTTCATTTTTTTTAATTTAGTTATAAATACCTACCATCATAGACATGGACTACATCCTTGGAACACACTGTAGAGTTTTCCAACTCCGAATCCAGGACTTTTAATTTTACAACTTCTAAAGCATCGTCGGTCGTAATTAGCCAGTTGCAGGAGAGTCCACTGAAAGAAAAAAAAAAAAAAAGATTTAGACGTCAGACACGGTATAAACCGTTTTAGAAATATTTCAAACAAACAAATCCCTTTTCATATTGATACCAATAACACGAACAGTGGCGATTATTAAAATATGGAGGTGTGGGAACATTATTTGCATCCATCACATCAAAAGCCTTTTTTTGTTTTATATAAGAATGATCTGTTTTCCTGTTTGTTGTTGATCGCTTTCTTTTTACAATAATCTTCATGGCGATCAAAGACATTTAAATATAAGAAAATTAAAAGCAATAAAATGTTTTATATTGTAGCAAAGATGTCTTTTTCAATAGCTATGATGTATCAACTACTTTGTCTCATTCGTGTTGTCGTTTTATAATGTCCGTCTGAAAAGCAACGAGATTGGGTGTGCCGTATGAGCCATGCGCGAAAGAGCGAGAAGCGAATTGTGTTATCTCTTCTCTAACATGCTATCTTGAGAGTATATATCTGTAATCTTAGTTTTATTCAACCATTGCATTTTCTTTGACAGAACAAATCGTGGCTGCTTCATCACGAAAATGCAATTGTTCACAACAACCTTAATCTTTGCCCGAGAAGAACCTCACTGTACAGAAACGACGTCCCTATTCCCCTGATCTTGTTCCGTGTCAAAAAATTCATTGCCCCAAGTTCAAGATGGTGATCAAAGGGACACGTTTTGACGGCCTGTAAGCCATCAAGAGGGCCGTAACGCCACATCTGAGGGGAGATGTAGGGTTACTGATGTGGAGAAGACAGAGACAACTGATCACAACTAATATCTGGTTGTGGCCAACTAATGCCAGACGAGAGCATGCAACGGTATGATAGGATCAGTACATAAACTGGTTAATATGTCACGTATTCAACCTCCCTCACAAAGAAAAATGGTAGGACTACAAGCCACCACAATTTGTAAAGAATAAAGAGGTTACTATCCCATGGAATTACCAAATGATAGGGAAATTGAGATAAATCGATCAGATATATGTGTGAAAAAAAATCACGTCGTCTTCTTGCAGCCCCAACCGAGCAAAACAACATCTTTGAATATGATTGAGACACGAAGTAAACAGAAGGACCTCGAGATAAAAATCTCGAGCATGTGGCGTCTCAAGACAGCAACATTATCTGTTGTTGTTGGGTCTTTGGGAATTCCATTGAAAGAAGCAAACAAATATATGGATCAAATTCGTGGTAGCCCGAACGTATGTGAACTGCAAAAAGTCAGTCTTAGTTACTTCTCACATCACCCAGAGATTTTATTCCATTTAGTCGACACAATTACATTTTTGTTTTATCTCTGATCGCATTTTCTGATGCAAAAGGAACTTGTTTAATGAAGATTGGTTGAAATTCGGGTGCAACTAATATTAAAAGCAACAGCAGCACATAGTGATGATGACTGTAAAAAGGTGAAAATGAAGAAGGTAGGAAATGATAGTCACAATATATGGAATTACTCGTTCCAGACAGAACACAAAGGTCGGGCGTTATTGTTTTCAATAAGGAGAGTAAGAAGTGTCAAATTATTGACTTTTCTGTTCCATATGATACGAGAGTAAATTCCAAGGAAAATGAAAAAGTTGAAAAATGCCAGGATCTAGCTCGGGAGTTGAAAAAGCTATGGATCATGACGGCTGAAATAATTCTTGTCGTAATGTGTTCCCTTCGAACAGCAACTAGAAAACTGAAAAAGGCGCTTAGGGAAAATTGGAACTGAAACGAAAATTATAGCCCCCTTCCTCGAGAATTGCCATCATTTACTCTGGGATTATTCTCCAAATGGTTCTTGTGCTTTGAAGGCTCTTACTGGCACCAGGCCGAAAGACCTGAATTTCCATTGAGGGCATCAATGTGTGACACAATAAAAAAAATAATAATAATGAAGAAGGAGTTTATTATCATCATCATCATCATCATCACCTGTTTTCTCTAAACCTCATCATTACAGTGGAACTAACGTCAAAGTGTCCGGTTTTGGCAGAGAGTTTATTTATAAACCAGCTGCATTGGGATTTTCCATATGTCATATAGTCATTTATGAAGCTTAGCTAAGAGCCAAACTTATTGTGTACACAGTAACGATCGATCTCGTTATACTCGGTAATATCAACGAAGCGAACTGGCTAATCGTAGTTCCAGGAAAGAGTCTTTCCTCTTCGTATTGATTGAGTGAATACATATAAACATTTCAGAAATATCAAATTATGGCCTCTTTTCTAATATATTACATACCCAAGATAAAAATTCAATATCATCGTGGCTATAGAAAAAAAAAGTTTAAAACTTTCGACCGATCTATTCTCCAACCGTCGTAAAGAATGTGAAAAGTATTTCCCACAGCTACTTCTTAAACAAAATCGCAAACACAAAAGTACTAGTCTGTCTATATTTCTGAGATGAGGTACTATGTACATTATTCGAACTATTGTCCTCAAGTTTGTCGCCATATTTATCACAACGTTTCCTCAAGGACACATGACACAGTGGATAAAGGCGTTGGTTAGATCCAGTGAGAGGACCCAAAGAGTGTGAGTTCAATACCGGGTTAAGGCAGTGGAGAACTTTTAGAGGGAAATTGGCAGGAGATAACTGATATCCATCAAACATGGCACGTGGAACTAGAACAGTCTACCCCAGTGAGCGAAATAAAGGGTTAAGTTCGAAATTCCAACCACCTGAAGAAGGCCGGAGCGTACAACGGCCGAAACGTTGTGATAAATATGGCGACAAAGATGAGGACAATAGCCCGAATAATGTAAATAATGTACAAAAGTACTAAGTTGTTTAAATGAGGATATATGTAGTTTTAAAAAAAATCTTGAAAACGAAGACTCATTCGCTGCCTTTTTACACCATTAATTGCAGAAGGCGGGAAGTTCTATCGCGTGAACTAGTTCTTGTAAGATGACCGAAGTAAAGCAACGTCGAGTCTGCTCAGTACCTAGATGGGTGAGCGTTTGGGAATATTAGGTGCTGTTATGTGACACCATTTAGGGAGATGGAGAAAGGAAAAAGGAAAGAAAAAAAAAGGCGAGAATTAAAATTAGGTGATGAGAGGCCATCACGAAAAGGACACTAAGCGGTGTTATTTTTATGACAAGGAAAAGTGGTAAAATTTTTATTTCCTATTGTCGAGAAGGTAAAAAAAGAAGATAGTGGAAGTAACCTGATTTAGGTTACGGGTCGGGTGGAAATTCCAGGTTGGCCAAATAACTTCAGAGACAGAATTCTAAATAGATAAACATTTAACTGTGTCGCAGGAATGCCCATTTGAGATCTCCCACAGAATTCTAAAGAGATAAAAATTTAATAGGTCATCCGCTGACCGAGAAACAAGAATGTCCGTTGACCACACAAGAGTTGCAAAAACAAAAAGACCAAACCATAGGTTAAGCCTTTGTCGATGGGAAGATATCGTTTGGAAAAGGCATCTGTTTTGTGTTGAAATTCGGCTATGACAGCGAAACTATTTTATCGGAACAGAAATTGGCACCAAGAATGCAAAATACGTCTAATTGATCACCCACTTGTTTGGCGAAGGCCCCCATTGATACGTCCAGGTGACATTGAGGATAAGATAAAGAGATTAAGGGTTTCTTGCTCACTACGAAAGAGAAAGAGAAAGAAAGAAAAAAAAAAGAAAAGAAAAGATTTTTTTTTTCTTTGAGCAAATTTTTTTAAAAAACAAGGCTAGTCTAGCCACACACACGCTGCTGAGCGCCTATTGGCTGAATGATAACGAGAGCCAGGCGGAGGTGATCATGTGAGGCAGAAAGGGAAGCCTGCTGGCACCCATTGAGGGGATAGGTGTGAGATGCCACTGTGAGAGAGAGGGGAGCCCGTTGACACCCTCTGAGGGCATGGTGTGATACCAATATGAGAACAGAAGAAGGTGGGAGGACGAAGAGACTTCCAAAAATGGAAAATAATAAAATTTTCTGACCGAAAACAAAGGAAGTGGATTGTGGGTTTGGAATTATCAAGGAACCTCAAACCCCGACAAGCCCACCCCGGTTTTGGTCGGCGTCCATATAAGCAAAGTCGCAGCGAGCGAAAATCAGTTCAGTTCAGTTCCAGATCCGGTTGGAATTGAGCTGAGTTGAGCTCTGAGAGACCAGCCTTGAAGAAAGCTGACTGAAGATTCCACGCATTCTCGACCTCATCTTCTAACCAAGAACAATTTATTTTTTGAAGAACGACTTAGACTCACACCACCAAAACAAGTTTTACGAATATCGCCTGAAGACACACCAAAAACCAGTTTCTTAAAAAACAAACAACTTAAGATGTTAAGACTCGCCTAACAAAAACAAAAAGTGTCACGAATCCATATAGCGGTTTGGGAGAAAGACGTAGTCCTGTATTCAGCAAACAGATATAAAATATTGTTATCCTTTTAACACATTTGAACTTTTCGAGTTATTATTTTCTTTTCTTTTACATATACTTGTGCGATATCACCCTTGTTCGAACTCGACTTGCATTACGGCCCGGCGACTGATTGATTTCGTCTGCCTAAGATCAAATCACAACGTGGGTAGGTTAGACTAGAAATCAAAGCAGTTACTTCGGTAACCAGACGTTGGAGGCGAGCTGGGAACGACAAGGCTGATACCGAATCTAACCAGATTCCCATCCGAATCACCAAAAGGTTAGAACGTCACATTTGGTGCCGCGACCAATACCAAGCCAGTTGGTCGTCACAGGACAGGATAGCACGACTGGTGCGCAGACAGGCGGACGTCACGTTTGGAGCAGACGACACCCGGGGGGACGTCACAGTTTAGCTTAGATGACCCGTAGAATGGATGCTGGCAGGAAATTGGTGATTACTTCCAAAATTTATCTCGTTTTATACTGTTATTTTTTATTCTTATAATAATACCCCTGCAAAATATATATATTATATGCCCCAGCTATGGGTCAATTAACATTGGAATGGGTATCAGTAAATTCATTATCTCTAAATGCAATCTAAA